GCAAGTGCCTCAAAACGAGGCGAATGTGTGTCGACACAAATACAATCTCAAAAAACCTCCCTTATTAATTGCACAGGTCCCCCAATAATGCACAGAACACCCAACAAAAATTAGGGGTTGCGTTCTCGAACCTCGAACGCAATTATAGGTAACGGCCTAATTCTATAACCTTAAAATATATATATCCTTTCCAAACAGATATCTTAGAAGCAACTTAATTCAAGACTTGCCTGAAGGAATATTCACCAACCTATCCGCTTTAAAATTAATGTAAGGTGCATCATTTTTTATGTGTAATGGTTAAGAGTAACTAAAGCTAGAGCAAACGCTTCATTCTTAATAGCAAGATGGAATCAAAGTGACATGAAGGATTTAGTAGGTAGTATCATGGGATATTTCAACGAGTCAGGGTTTTGTTTTGGGCTAGCCCGTAGGGCGAGTCAAAATACAAAAGACGAGATAAAATATCCCACCACAGTACTCACTAAACCGTCCTATAAGAGATTTATTATTCAACTCGAGGGGTATAAGATCAGCTCAGTAAATGTGGGCTCCTCTACATAACGAGAATGCGTTACACACTAACGGAACTCCTTTGAAAGTCCAGTTTTCGCTTTATGCAACGTTGTTGTTCATTGGTTGGAAATGAAAACTTGTCAAACAGGTTTACTTATTAAATAATTTTTTCGGGTTTTCGTCGAAACTTCGAGGTTCTATCTTTCATCAATCATAAGGCTAGAGCAAGCGCTACGTTCTTAATAGCAAGGATCTGATGGAACCAAAGTGACATGAAGGGTTTAGTAGGTAGTATTATGGGATATTTCTACGAGTCAGGGTTTTGTTTTGGGCTGGCCCGTAGGGCGAGTCAAAATACAAAAGACGAGATAAAATATCCCACGACAGTACTCACTAAACCGTCCTATAAGAGATTTATTATTCAACTGGAGGGGTGTAAAATCAGGTCAGTAAATGTACGCTCCTCTACATAACGAGAATGCGTTACACACTAACGTGACTCCTTTCCAAGTCCAGTTTTTGGTTTATGCAACGTTGTTGCTCATTGGTTGGAAATGAAAACTTGTCAAACGGGTCTACTTATTACATAATTTTTTCGGGTTTTCGTCGGAGCTTCGAGGTTCTACCTTTCAATCATTTGCCTGGAAAACAAAGGTAGACTGACAGATAATAATGAGGCTTATGATGGTCTCTCGGTTTTTACGTAAAACCGACTTCAAGTAGAAAAAATTGTCTAAAGCAAATTGGGATAGAAAGAAGAAAAATATCCCACAAATGAAAGGAGTTTCATAGAGCTACTCGTAAACAAAGGACTTCAAAACTTATCGTCGCCACTTTGCTTTTTACTTATGGCAATTCGGCCACGAGAGCTTTGCTTTTGACCCTGGCGTAATCTATATACTACTTTGACAGTCATATGACCGCGTTCTCCTGTCCATACAGCAGTCTGTATTACTTGGAAAGTCTTCGCATTAGGCCCAGTTCAAACGTTGAACTTTTCATGTACTGAACTGAATAGCTATATATTAAGGTCGACCCAGATGATAACAGTTCGACGATTGATTCAATCGGACTCAATTCACTTCACGATGTACATGGTCTACAATTTACCAGTGAAAATATAGTAATTTATGCATTAGGTTTGGAACATGAAAGAAAAGTTCAACGTTTGAAACGAGGTCACTCCCTTGTCGAAATTCCCATGTGGGCCATTCGAACTTTAAATTCCTGGTCTTCCATGAACTTAATTGAAGGATTAGGTTCGTTACATGAAAAGTTCGACGTTTCACTGTAACTATAAGGAAGTCAGGGACCTTTCCCCCAATTTTTGTCCTTTCGGTTGTTTTTCCATTTTTATTTAGGTAAATTACTTTACGTTTTTTAAAATGTAAAAATACTGAACTGTATATCGTTTATAACACGTTGGAGAGAGTCTGTTGTAACCGGAAATGTTTCATTTCACAGCGATTTGTCCTCAAACAGAATCAAGAACATTACACGTGGCGTATTTTTCAACAATAAACTTCTTCGCTTCATGTAAGTTTATTTTACTTTTGTCATTTGAAAAGGAATTAGTCATTTATCTTACCCGGAGTAACTAATCCAAACATTTCGGTAATCGAACTATCGAACGATCGGGGCTATTGAGTTTAGTGATCGATCATGATAATAGAAGAGTGTCCAACTTCGCTTGGTTTCTGGGAACAAAACTAAACCTATTTTATTTATTTGACATGGAAATTTTTAACTTTTACCTATGTCTTCCCTGGATTCGCTTGAAAGTTATGGAATGATGCGAATGGATTGCAGATATAGTTGAAGGTTTTAAATAGAGGTTGTCTGTACAAAAATCAAGTAAAAGTCACGGTACTGTCAATATTTCAACTAACTTCATAGGGCAATTATCTGAGCGAGGATCTGAAAGTTTGGGGAGCATTCCAACTGAAACCTCGATAAAGCTCCTCCCTTTGCAGTTTGACACCAT